ACGTTGCTGAGAGAGTAAAAAGGACTCGAAGTAATCGAAGTAATCATTGTTGCGTAAGGGAAGGTATCTAAAGAAGTGTCTGAAAGCTTATTTAGTACCAGACTGGCAAAAAGGAAGAGGAATATCAAATTAAGTCATCGCCATGATTTTATCTTCTTTGAGCTTGGCCGCTATACTGCAGAGCGTAACCAAATACTCCAGCTATCTGACGTATGGCTGGATATAATAATCTAGCCCAAGAAACCAATACACAAATATCACAGTCATTTATCAACAGGAAAGCATCGTGAGAAAAGTTGGAGACTTGTTCGAAATCGCCAGCACTGATACGGAAAATTTTACAGAGACAACCACTATTTGCTTCAGGCAATTATTGTCATGATATCATTTCAGAGAGTTTCTACCAGAGTAATGACACTGATAATGATGACGAAATGTTCACAATGGCTCAATGTGAGCCACAAGAAGATAGTGATAGTTACGGCAACGAGCAAAGCCATCACACTAGTGTCTTAAGCATCATACACGGTATTATGTGCGCTTCTAGTGATGGAGTCAAGTGGATGCCGAAACACATCGCCCTAGGTAGTATCCTTCATCAAATCCGCAAGCGACCCGTTCAACGCTGTTAGTAGATCTATTGCACAAGGCGGGCCATATACAGCTACGACAGGCAAATCCTCAAGGCGGACACCTCACTAGCGCAAGGCACAGACTCTGTTCTTGAATGAGATAAACGACACCGTTGTCCTAACTGATCTAAACGCGGACAACTTCATGCAGTTCACAGCTGATAACGTTGACATCAACGATTCGTTACTAGACGGAAAGGACAATTTCCACGCAACACAGGTACCTGGTTGGCAAAGAGGCCCAGATAAAACAAAGAATTTAGCAAGCTTGAGGTCTGCTGACAGAACTACCCTTGTAATTCCTGAGGCATTATGTAGCAATTGCAAGCATCTTATATCGTGAAAGACAAAAGTATCCCGGCATTTACAGAACCTATTGAACAGAAGTGGTATACTGTTTTTATAACGTTTGTGGCGTCAGGCATACTTTCCCGAAACCTGTGCTTCCTGAGACAGGCTGGGCGTAAGCTGAAGATCTACCGGTCCCTGCCTTTATGACCCTCAATTCAAACCCGGAGGCTTCGTTGGCTTGGTTTCATGTCGGTGCTCGAGTGTTGAGTGAGTGAGTGAGTGAGTGTTTGAGTGTTGTCGAGTGACGAGTGTTGTTGGTATGTCAGTCCTTGTACCTTGGTAAAACGATCAAGTCAAACACGTCGACATCATGTGTTCTTATTTTCCTGGGATTATTACGGGACGAAAAGAAATTCTTTATTATTTTGTTTTTATTTTATTTATTTATTTCTACGGCTAAAATTTATAACTTCGAGGAATCCATCTGCACGGGCTATTGTGTCTAGTTACATATTTTGTTTTTGTTGTTTACACTTTTAGTTTTTTCGATCAAGTCAGTGTGTGTGAAGTTTCAGGTGGGGTACCCCCATAAATTTCGGATAGGTGTTCGTCTCCGAAGGCCTGGTACCCTATTTGAGGATGAGACAAACGAAAACTGATACCTTATTTAAGAGCGTGTCTCCGTAAAAACCGACCAGTGATTTCGGATCAAAAAATTAACTTTCCTTATATTCTAGGATATTAAAGTCTTTACCTAATTAGTTACAAAAATGCATTTTTTTTGACCGGAAATGCGAAATGTATTTTTTTTACGACTAGAATTTTTGAATTTTCTGCCGGTTGGCACCGGCCCCATAGCCTTTGAAACTGCAAAAATCGCCTACATTGCCGGCGCTACTGAAAACAAACAACTCGTTCAAGAAGCCCGATTTTCTTTTAAATATACAGATACACCACTCTAGATGTCCTAGCCATATCAGCAGTTCCGAATTATTTATTCATTTTAACGGCAAGAATCTTTCCTGGCACGTGTTATCAGCCTGCCATCAAAACACAAAAATAGCGCAACTTTGAGGGCAGTTTAAAAAAGTGTGGCACCTGTCTGAACTTTGCTATCTGTATTAATACAAACTAGAAATGATAGTAAAACGTAAAAAGGAATAAAATTTTTGTGCTTTTTACGCTTTCGAACTTGACCGTCGTTTGAATTTCCAGAAATTTCGAAGACAAGATAATCAACGAACACTTGCCTTGTTATTCTCCTCCTTTAACTTCGCTGTTTGTAATGTCCTTCTTGGTTTGTAGAACCCGGATACTATTGTCCCTTAAGTAATCGCTTTTACTAAAATATTGGTTTTCTTATCATTCGTCCTCCAACAGAATTTTTTGTCTTGTTTGTAATAAACGTAATTGCACTCGTTGCTGGTCGCGAGCGTGACACGGTTGTTTCGTGACATTCAAATTTTTTCCGCTATTTGTTAGAGGTAATTGCCTTTGAATCGCCATGCATCGATAAATTTACTTCTTCAGTTTAACGTAGATACATTGAAAAAATTGGCTCAACACATTTTAGAGGAGAAAATTGAGAATCCACCAAAACGCCAACCTCGTCCCCAGGGTCTTCTCGCTTTCCAATATGGCGGCGGCAGGAGAGAAGACCCTGGCACACAGCAGAAATCACGTGACTGATTTGTCCACGGAGAGTGGAAATTTATTCAAAATGGCGGCCAAGATAAAGAGTGAGAGGATCTGGGTACGAGGTCTTGAGAGGGTCGTCACTTGTTTCCATCCGCCAAACTGACGTGACGTCATCTGATCTCCGGTGAGCATCTTCGGTTTACGCGTCGGCTTCCCATCGTAAATACAAATATGGCAGCCACTGTCTGGGCTAGACTGATATTTGTCAGTATACCACTCAAACTAGCGAATGAAGTGAGATTATGTTTGCCAGGATTTACCTAACCGATCTACCTTGTGTTGTTTGGTTAAAAGGCAAATCTTAAGAGAAGGTAGGCCCGAGAAGGTATGATGCGAAAGCTACTATTGACATTTATAGTTTACGTTCAGAAAGTGGCAAGGAAAGACTTAAGCTTAAATTACTTTCTATCGAGCTCACTTCTAAAAGCGTTTCATATCGAGAGTATTCTATATAGAAAAAGATATTTCTGGTTTATCAGCTTAATTCTCAAGCGACGTCATTTTGGTGGATGGACAAGGTTCCATCTATCAAACTGACGTGACAAATGTTGAAATTAACAAACCTTTCTATCATTGTGTCGTTACAGAGTTTTCATTGAAATAGTCTATGGCATTACACGCCCAATTACTGCAGATTCTGTTAATTTTTCATTTATTTGGAGCTACATGTAATAAGAAACTTACACTTTAAGTACTGACTGCATTTATTTCGCTATTAAGTTTAGTCAGGGGCACCCAACGACAATTTTTGGAAAATATCTATTCAGAAGACGATTTGAGATCTAGAATTTTCGGAACATTTGTTTTAAAACTCCTTGCTTCCCTGCCTCTCCTAGGATTTTCTAACATCTAAAAAATGGTATAATTGCCAATTTTTAACTGATTTTTACCCTAAAAAGGTCATCTATAATTTTTGGGGAACCTTTTTTCTGGCTGAAATTTTCGAAAAGGTAAGTTTCGATCCCTATAATTTTTGGATCACTAGACTTTGAGCTAGGAAATCTAAGCAGATGAAAAATTTTTGGGGGATAAAAATATGCCTATATCTACCGTTTAAATACTAAAATACGTTTAACAATGCTATGTTTAAGTGGTTTTGAACTATATTCTCGTTGGGTGCCCCTGTTTAGTCATGATATACATGTAATTTGCATGATTTTAAGAATATCGCAACTACGTGTAACCTAAAAACTTAGTTGTAATCTTTTCTTAACATGACGGTAAATAGTAAACAAGGAAAAATATCAAGCCAACTGTCATCAACCAGCTAGTATGCTGCAACTGTTAAACTGTAATGAGACTTCTCAACTGGAAATGGTCAAAGAAAGTTTCATTTGACATATCATTATAACCTTCACAGTTCTACTTAGTTAATTTTATGATTGCAGTATTGTGATGCCTCAGTTTATTAAAACCTACCATCCATAACATTTATGGTCAGTATTATGCTCATAATTCTAAGCAAAATTAATATACACGTAACGTTCATTTGCTAACAGGTATTTCACAAAACAGGAATTATATACAATGTTTGTAACACACACATGCTAACTATATATCACAGCTTATTCTCTAAAACTACTACTGGTAACAAAATGAGTACTGGTATATGAAGATCATTATGAAATGTGGAGTCCAAATTCTGAGCTACATGTAACACATCTTTGTATTTGCCCAACAATTGGAGAGCCCAAAAGTACTACTATAATATCATCAGTAGTTGCCATAGAGATGGTGTGTGTTAATCAGTAATACCCATTTTTCAGCTTCTCGCTCTTATAACTTGAAACTTCGTCCAATGCCCCAAATTTTGTATGGTGTTATTTCACTAAGCAGGAAAACAAGTATGTTAACAAAATTTGACAAAATATTGAAAAACAGGTTCTGGGAGAAGATTTTCTAGAACTACCAAATGGCATAGATTTCAATAAGGAAAATGTACAGTTTTCTCAAAACAGCACTTTTGTTTCGATGGTGAAAAGCAATGGTATCAAACAATCAGTGGCTTACTCGCTATTCCTCTAGACATAAAACTATACCACAGCAACAGTATAACTTGTCAAAAACACCTTTAAATACTTATCACTTGAAAACAAGTTAGGTGACCCCCATTGTTTATTACACTGAATAGAAATTCATTAGTGAAGATACAGCCTTTTGTTTAAGCTAGCAGGGGATTCAGAAGCACCTTAAGATTTTGGAAAAATTAACGTGTAACCTGATGCTAAAAATTTTTGAACTTTTCAATTAGTTTTAAGTTGACATTCTGATTATTTTAACAATAAAAAATGGGGCTCATTTTGAGTTAAAAGCACATGTTGGAGGCCAGGCATTCCATGATAGTACTTAGCAAAACTTTTGTTAGCCACTTTAAGCAGGTTAATTTCTTGAGGAAGATGTAACTTTTGCATCCTCTTCGCATTTGTTGCATCTCCACTTACGGTTGCTGTTTATTGCCCAGGCTGGTATTTTAACACAGGTGGGATGATACCATTTTTTGCATTTTCCATTGCTGCACTGAACATATTCTTCTCTGTCATATGGTAGCCTACACACACAGTAAATAGCAACAGATGACTTGACACTGCCCAAGTAACGTGGCACTCTCTTTTCAGTTTTGGGGAATGGTGACATGGCTCCATTTTCTAGGCAGTTGACATAATGCTGTCGCATAGATCCTTGGTTATACTTCTGATTTGTGGGATCTATACCATGACACAAATCAGTTGCAAATGCCAGCGAAAACAGACCACAGTCACTACCTCCAACTTGTCGCTGGACTTTCTCATTGATAAAGGTGACTTTGTCTCCTGGATACATCAACATGCGACAGGCATGCTCTACTGCTGTTGAATTAGTATTCTGATAAAGGCTATCGAAAATCTTGACAGTGTCGGGACTGGATGTTGTTGAAATTGTACTTAGACACACCCAGTGGTTCCCAGTATTGATGATCTGAATGAACTCTGATGTTGCAGGGACAACAAGGGACCCTTTTATTGCTGGATCACATAGCCCGTCCACGAAGGGATAATCCCTCTTGAGGAGCATTTGCCCTGCATGGATTTCAGAATCTGAGAGCCAGGTGGTCTTCTGTAAAATTCTTGTCTTGTTTTCTATATACAGATTAAGTTTGTAATGTGGATCCTCAGGGTCACAATTTTCTATTGTCAACCATGATGGAGGATCAGGAGAATTTTCGTCAATTATAATAGGTCCTGGAGTAGATTTGTTTGAAGGAGTACTTGAGTCACCAAATTGACCATTGCTGACAGCTGATGATGGACTGTTGCTGACTGCTGATGATGGACTGTTGCTGGCTGCCGATGATGGACTGTTGCTGACTGTTGATGATGGACTGTTGCTGACTGCTGATGATGGATTGTTGCTGACTTTTGATGATGGACTGTCGCCAACTGCTGATGATGGACTGTTGCTGACTTTTGATGATGGACTGTTGCCAACTGCTGATGATGGACTGTTGCTGACTGCTGATGATGAACTGTTGCTGACTGCCGATGATGGACTGTTGCTGACTGTTGATGATGGACTGTTGCTGACTGCTAATGGTGGACTATTGCTGACTGCTGATGATGGACTGTTGCTGACTGTTGATGATGGACTGTTGCTGACTGCTGATGATGGACTATTGCTGACTGTTGATGATTGACTGTTGCTGACTGCCGATGAGAATACCGGTATTTCTTTCTGCAAAGGTTGGTCTTCTGAATTTTTGTGTTGAGTGTTAGTTGGAGGGCTATCAGTTCTCTCCTGAGCAGCGGATGGATCATTGCTTGTTTTAGTTTCATTTTGGACAAGGTGGTTCTGTTCTTCTGTGCGTTGTTTCTTTGGTGGAGAAGGATGTTTGGATTCTTTGTGCAATTCTTTCTTTCTTTTGAGAGAACTTTTTGTTTTGGATGTCTTGACTGACACTCCATCAACAGGGATTTGCACTTTATAGTGTTTTTGCATCATGGATGCATATTCTCCAACTCTGTTGTGAAACCTTTTTTTCTTGGGGCGCACAGGTAGTGGCAGGTAATTTCCAAAAGATGATTTGAGTTGTTTCTTGCCAGATTGTTCTTTAATCAACGTTTGTTTTTGTAATGAGTTTTCCTTTTCATCAGTTGTTTGAAAGGTTGTGAACTTAATTAGTAACATTTCAAGGGAACTGTTGAGTTCTTTGAGGGCACTTACATCTTCAATGTTGTATGTCAATGATGTTAGCCCTTTAAGCTTCTCCCTACATGTTACTGCCTCTTGCCTGATTTGACTTTCAATGCCTTTGACTTTCTGGTTTGGGACACCTGCTTTGCCATCTTGCTGATTTCCTGGTACGTCTTGACCAATCTGAATGTTGTGATTTTCTTCACCACTTTTATACTTAGTGAAATCAGCAAACACATGCTCCCTGTCTAGTGAGAGATGGGGGTTTTCACGATATTTTTCTGGCAATGAACCCCACTGCCATTTTGGGTAATGGTCGAAAATTGCAAAAAAATGCTTGCATAGGAGCCCTGTGTGGCAAAAATCCGGACAGCTGCATCGTGGCATGACATCCCCAGCACCAAAAGACAGGCTGTACCATGTGTTGCTTGACTGTGATTGCACTTGGAACTGACCATCTTCTATGCCATTACAAACCTCCTTGATATGCTGGGGTTCTACTTCAACAGCAGATATTATGCGCTGCCTGCAGTGGTTCACAAATGGTCTTGGTTTATTGTGCAAGTATTTTGGCACATCTGAGCTGTAGCGCCTGTATCCTTCACTGCACCTTGTGTTAAGCTCCACATACCTGGGAAAAAAGCAGCTTCTTAATGAATTGTTAATAATTATGCAGTGATATTTGAGTTGCATATGTTGTAGAATCTTTGCATTAATCCCTATTTTAACTTTAAGCATTTGAATTTTTGAATGTGGGATGTAATGTACCTTCTGTATTTGTCGGGTAGAAATTCCTCGATTAGTGTCGTAACCATTCCACTGAGGCTGTTGTTATTTCGATCCTTCAGGTACTGGTATTTCAAGGACTCATTCTGTCTCTCAATGCCGTTGTTAGTGTTGATACTCAACATGAATCGGTCCTGTCTGAATGCCCACACCCATCGCTGTAATAAAACGCAATTTACAGAGAATTTAAACTTTTTAGTGAACTGGTCCTTGCTGCATGCTAACAGCTCACTTCATCAATATTTATTATTTACACGAATATGTTAGACAGGCGTGTTATTTACCTGTATGTCGGGCAAAGGAGGACATGGGCTTGCAGAGGCAAGCTTTCGTTCTTATACAGTTCGAACCCTAATAAGCAGCCACCCTTGGGGAAATGGATAGTGGCTGCTTAAATAGAGGTAAACAACAATTTAAAAAACCCCTCATGGGAGCTTTGATTACTGGGCGAGTAATACGGGTTGGCCGTTTAATAGGTGACCAGTTAATAATTAGTAATTATAATAATAATTTTTTTAAAATAATACAACTCTAATAATAATAATAATAATAATAATAATAACAATAAATTTATTTCAGTGTCAATGCATTTAGCTGGATAGGGGTTCAACTGTGTATATTGCATGCAATGTACTTCTAGACCCCTTTCAGTTTATTCCCAATTTGGAGGGCAAAACAATAAGATTGCCTTGCATTTGAAAAGGTTTTTTCTCTCAGAAGAGAGAACAACCATTGTTTTGTCCTCCAGATTGGGAGTTACGGGAAGGAGTCTATTGCAGACAAGTATAAAACTGTGTGCTGTGTGCTTTATTTCAATTCTTACCTTAGACTCTACAAGCCATGTTTTTTCAAACCAATTCCTGAGCTTGGGATTAGCCAGCCAAACTGCACTCTCCTTAAGGGAAGACAAATTTTTTTCAAATGACTCTTTTGTTGGTGATTTTGCCACGTTGCGAAGAAATGTTAGGACCTCTTCCCTGCTGTCAGTCAACCCATTTTCAGACTTTCGTAGCCATCTTTCCCAGCACTGTTCGCGGTGAAAGTCACAAATATATGTAGTGGTATCTGTTAAACCAAATTAGAATGTGAATCTTTTTGTACATTCTATTTTTAATTTATAATAGTGTGTTGTCATTTGAGAGAAGATAAAGCACTATGATGGATATACTGATACCTCGTATGGCATCAACCTAAGCTTGACTTTAAGGTTTCGCCCTCTAGGAAGTATCCAGATTTGTAACTGAATACCTAAAGTCATATTTAATTTGGCCTGGTTTTTCAGTCACTAGGGAGGTCAAGGTTAACTTACAATTTTATAGAAATTGTTACTTATTCCTTCAAAATATTGTTTGCCTACATGTACTTGAATACTTGAATGGCAAGCTGTAAAAATGATTTTCTTTGCACCCTGCTTGAATGTACAAGTCTTTATTTACATTTAGTTTCACACTTTGAGAATATTGGCCCAATGTTGAATCATCCGTACCTGTGAATGTGTTCTCAATTGCATGGATCTCTTCATGACAAAAGTCAGTCATGAAAAATTGGGGCTTCCAGCTGGCATTCCAATCGTGGAAGATTCCTAGTGCTTCCTGTATGGAGGCTGTAGTTTCCCGTTGAATTATGAAAGACCCCACAACTATGTAATTTACATTTGTCTTTACCACTAGGAAAAATAGAGGGAGCTCATATCTCATTGTCTTGTAGGTTGCATCAAGCAGGGTGATCTCATTTCCGTAACGGATCATGAGTTGCTTTTGCCAGGCTGTTTGATGAGCAAACAAAAGATCATCTCGCACACAATTTTGATCTGTTTCCTCATTGTTGATGCTTTCAGAAGCTGTTGATGAGGCTTATAGGGCACAGGGTCTAAAATAGAAAGAGTCTTGTGGGTTCTCCTGACACCAATTTTCAATTTTCTTTTCAAGGTTTTCCTAATCAGATTTGGCCAGGATTTTTTTACTGATGCCTGATACATGTGGTTCCTGATGTCCACATCTGTTGGATAATAGCGCCTGTTTGTTGATGCTGGTGGAGATTGCCCTGGAAATAGTTCAGTTTTTACGAATTGCCTAAGATGTCTTTTCATTTCGTCCACAGTTTTCACACCTTCGCCAACAAGCTCTCCAATCTTGTCTACAAGCCGTTTGTCGATGGGCTGGAGAATGCCACCAATCTGATTGTTTGATACATGAGGAGAAAAATGAAAATGGAATTACTTTTTTGACAGAAATATTTTGACAGCCATGCTCATAGTTGTAGGCACTGCTGGTACAATGTACACTTACATGTAATGAATGAAATGTCACCGGGGCGTAGCTAGGGGGGGGGTCTTGGGGTGCCCGTGACCCCCCCAATGTACATTACACTACACTTACATGTAATGAATGAAATGTCACCAGGGGCGTAGCTAGGGGGGGGTCTTGGGGTGCCCGTGACCCCCTTGGTAGGCCTTCTTTTGAGCAAACAACCTACAATATTCAGGTGGCAAAACCGCCATGACAATATCTTGGCCGTAAAAGCCATTGTTGAAAAGCCCACTTTTTTAAAATTTGTTTTTTGTAAAGTATTTTCCTCAACGGCTCTTGTCTTAAGTTAACATGGGCCTTCATGCCGCGATAATACGACTGAGCCCGCTGATACACAAGGGAGAGCAGTGGTATAAACCATATACAGTCGGCGATCCCCGGATGGTGTCCCTGCTTAACATAACGAGTAGCCTCTGTGACCCCCCCTTTGAAAAATCCTGGCTACGCCCCTGGTCACTTCTGTCAACAACAACATTCAAAAAACAAATTATTTGGATAGAATAGCAACAAATCAGTTGAAATAATAATTCCTAGACAATTTTGTTTATTTTTTATCAGCTTCTATTTTAGTCCTAGACACTACTTGGACCTTTTTTCATGATCATTACTTCATTTACAGACCTAGTCTATGATTGTTAACACTACATAGCATGTAGCTACCCATACACCTGTTGTACTTTGTGACCTAGCCTTTGAGTGGAAGGTCTGTCTTGACTTTCTTTCACATGCCTTCTTGCCTTTTCATAGGAAAGTAATACCTGTCCGAAACTATAATTACCATAATGATTTATACATGAAAAACTAGAAGGTTTATATGAAAATGACTCAACTCTTGTCCTACCCATTCAAAGTGTTTTTCCCTAAGCCTTCAACTATTACTCAAACAAAAAGAGCCAAAAACAAAAGTTAATATTATTGTTCTCAAGTTAAGGTAGTGTCCCAGTTCTTTCCATTGACATCAACAGACCTCTCCAGTGATGTGATCTTTGTGTTCATCCTCCTTTGGTAATTGAATATAAATTCTGCGTTCCACTTGGGGTTTCTGTCCGCTGGTTATATCAGTCTTCAGCTTTTTGGACATGTCCCTTCTTAGTCTTTCTGTGTCATCCCTGATCTAATAGAGTTAAAAGACAGTAATAAGTTATGAAATGAAGGGATGTATTTAACTGAGCGGAAGTATAATGTCAATTGCTATTATCACTATTGTGATGGTGGTTTTGTACCTTGTAATTGCAATACTTTATGACTTCTGATAAACGAATACTCGCAGGGCAGCCAAACTTCATTGTGTCTTGAGGTAGAAACCTCCTCCTTTTGAATGAGTGATCATCAACCTGTAGTTAGAAGATTAATATTATAGATTCCTTACAGTTTAGTGCTAAAAGCACCAAAAAGGCTGTGGCTGTGAAGTAAAAATGCAGATATTTTTTAGTCATAACCAACATACCTTCTCTTCAGAATGTCTCGCTTTAAATGACTTTTTCCTGTCTGGTCCATGTTGGCAGTCAAATACCTTGGTGCCAATTATACTGAATGGTACTCCATCAAATGGAATTTTGTCATCTTTGAAATAGACTTTTCTTTGCTTGGCAAAGGGATCTGTGTCATGGAAACAAGGAAAGTCTGTATTATGTTTATTAGGGCTGTACTCTAGCAGTCCTGAGAGGCCCCTGGTGACTTACTGTTGCTTTTCGGCAAGAAGGCAATCTTAGTTTTTGCCCAAAATTGCTATGCTGAGCAGCCAGAATGTTAAAGGTTTAGTGTTTTGGGCTCCCCGAATTTTTTTTCTTAGAGCATAGCCTTGTTTATTATAATTTTGATTGTAATCTGGTATGCAACCTACACCACAGTCAAGCCAATGTATTACATGCACCCTTTGCAAATAGTACTCAGTCAACCATAGATTTCAAGATACCGTTAGCCCCTCCGTGTATAAGCCCCTCCAAATATAAGCCCCCCAAACTGGTAACGCAAAAAACCCTCCGTAAAATCGCCCCTCCAAATATAAGCCCCCCGGGGGCTTGTACTTGGAAAATTGCCCTCAAATACAAAATAAAACAAAGCAAAAACGGTAAATTTACTTCCAACTATAAGGCTAGCCCAATCGATTTTGAAACGCAAATTTCCCTCCGTATATAAGCCCCTCCGAATATAAGCCCCTCCAAAAATAAGCCCCTCAAAAAGGGCCTTTGAAAAATATTAGCCCCGGGGCTTATTTTCGGAATTTTACGGTATTTCATGTCTTTGATTCATAAATTGTTCATGCAATGAATACCACTGTGTTTAGAATATGCACATTCTACTCTAGCATATTTCTCCCCCAGCATTGTTTATTATAATCTTTTGATTGTAATCTGGTGTGCAAGCTACACTACATTCTACTCCAGCATTCTTAACCCTATTATGTTACACTGCACTGCTAAAATCATAGCTGCTGATAACCAATCAGATTCAAGAATTTTTTTATGACCAACTTATTGTTTATGCACTTATCAACTGAAATCCCCCCTCCCCCACCCCAAGGACAGGGTGGGGATTTGACTTCATGTCAACTACAATGGTGATTAACCCCCATGAGGGGGCACTTAAACTTTTAAAGCCCCCACCTACAGTCCTGTAGGAGAAAAATAAAACATGGCAAATCTTGAGAAATCCCCACCCCCCAAAGGCAAAACATGCTGTCAAATTTTATCGAACGACCTTTGTTCCCCCACCTTGGCCCGGGGGTGGGGGGTCGGCTTTCAGTTGATAAGTGCATAATTTTATTGCTTCATAATTATCTTACCTCCAGCACCAAACATTTTGTCTGATTTAAAACAAGAGAATTTTGTTGTTGTTTCCAGTTCATATTGTCTTATTACAGTCATGGCTTCCTCAACTGATCCAACATAGCCAACAAACTTGTTCGTTGATCCTCTTAACTTCGCTTGCCAAGTACGTACAGTAGCACTGTCTTTCTCACTTTCTAAATATATGCCTTCAGCTGTGCCGCTACCTTCTTGGGCATTTGCCGGCAAAGCCATAACAAACGACTTGTGCTGAGTACTATAAACTGAGTAGTCAACTTCCAGATCTCATAAACTCGGAAACTTTATTATTTTCCTTTCGAAAATGCCCGCCAAACAACAATGCTTAGCGGGAAAATCTTCGGAATTCCGAGACAGGTTTTCGGTACATTATCGTCAATTTTCGTGCGCGTTCGCCTGTTATTGAACGTCAGTTTCATGGATGGAAAGATACGCTATCTGTCACGCCATCCATCAAACTGACGTTCTCCACTGTGGCAAGCTTTAAGGATATAAAATAGCTTTACCCTTGTCCACTTTACCCTAAGTTTTCAAAGGTTTATTGAAAAAAATCAGGACCCTGCTTTATGTGCACAGAAAAACACAAATAATCTGCTGGACACACGTGGACCCACAAAAGATCATCCGCCATATTAGTTTTTACGATAGGAAGCCGGCGCGTAAACCGAAGATGTTCACCGGAGATCAGATGACGTCACGTCAGTTTGGCGGATGGAAACAAGTGACGACCTCTCAAGACCTCGTACCCAGATCCTCTCACTCTTTATCTTGGCCGCCATTTTGAATAAATTTCCACTCTCCGTGGACAAATCAGTCACGTGATTTCTGCTGTGTGCCAGGGTCTTCTCTCCTGCCGCCGCCATATTGGAAAGCGAGAAGACCCTGGGGACGAGGTTGGCGTTTTGGTGGATTCTCAATTTTCTCCTCTAAAATGTGTTGAGCCAATTTTTTCAATGTATCTACGTTAAACTGAAGAAGTAAATTTATCGATGCATGGCGATTCAAAGGCAATTACCTCTAACAAATAGCGGAAAAAATTTGAATGTCACGAAACAACCATGTCACGCTCGCGACCAGCAACGAGTGCAATTACGTTTATTACAAACAAGACAAAAAATTCTGTTGGAGGACGAATGATAAGAAAACCAATATTTTAGTAAAAGCGATTGCTTAAGGGACAATAGTATCCGGGCTCTACAAACCAAGAAGGACATTGCAAACAGCGAAGTTAAAGGAGGAGAATAACAAGGCAAGTGTTCGTTGATTATCTTGTCTTCGAAATTTCTGGAAATTCAAACGACGGTCAAGTTCGAAAGCGTAAAAAGCACAAAAATTTTATTCCTTTTTACGTTTTACTATCATTTCTAGTTTGTATTAATACAGATAGCAAAGTTCAGACAGGTGCCACACTTTTTTAAACTGCCCTCAAAGTTGCGCTATTTTTGTGTTTTGATGGCAGGCTGATAACACGTGCCAGGAAAGATTCTTGCCGTTAAAATGAATAAATAATTCGGAACTGCTGATATGGCTAGGACATCTAGAGTGGTGTATCTGTATATCTAAAAGAAAATCGGGCTTCTTGAACGAGTTGTTTGTTTTCAGTAGCGCCGGCAATGTAGGCGATTTTTGCAGTTTCAAAGGCTATGGGGCCGGTGCCAACCGGCAGAAAATTCAAAAATTCTAGTCGTAAAAAAAATACATTTCGCATTTCCGGTCAAAAAAAATGCATTTTTGTAACTAATTAGGTAAAGACTTTAATATCCTAGAATATAAGGAAAGTTAATTTTTTGATCCGAAATCACTGGTCGGTTTTTACGGAGACACGCTCTTAAATAAGGTATCAGTTTTCGTTTGTCTCATCCTCAAATAGGGTACCAGGCCTTCGGAGACGAACACCTATCCGAAATTTATGGGGTACCCCACCTGAAACTTCACACACACTGACTTGATCGAAAAAACTAAAAGTGTAAACAACAAAAACAAAATATGTAACTAGACACAATAGCCCGTGCAGATGGATTCCTCGAAGTTATAAATTTTAGCCGTAGAAATAAATAAATAAAATAAAAACAAAATAATAAAGAATTTCTTTTCGTCCCGTAATAATCCCAGGAAAATAAGAACACATGATGTCGACGTGTTTGACTTGATCGTTTTACCAAGGTACAAGGACTAACATACCAACAACACTCGTCACTCGACAACACTCAAACACTCACTCACTCACTCACTCAACACTCGAGCACCGACATGAAACCAAGCCAACGAAGCCTCCGGGTTTGAATTGAGGGTCATAAAGGCAGGGACCGGTAGATCTTCAGCTTACGCCCAGCCTGTCTCAGGAAGCACAGGTTTCGGGAAAGTATGCCTGACGCCACAAACGTTATAAAAACAGTATACCACTTCTGTTCAATAGGTTCTGTAAATGCCGGGATACTTTTGTCTTTCACGATATAAGATGCTTGCAATTGCTACATAATGCCTCAGGAATTACAAGGGTAGTTCTGTCAGCGGACCTCAAGCTTGCTAAATTCTTTGTTTTATCTGGGCCTCTTTGCCAACCAGGTACCTGTGTTGCGTGGAAATTGTCCTTTCCGTCTAGTAACGAATCGTTGATGTCAACGTTATCAGCTGTGAACTGCATGAAGTTGTCCGCGTTTAGATCAGTTAGGACAACGGTGTCGTTTATCTCATTCAAGAACAGAGTCTGTGCCTTGCGCTAGTGAGGTGTCCGCCTTGAGGATTTGCCTGTCGTAGCTGTATATGGCCCGCCTTGTGCAATAGATCTACTAACAGCGTTGAACGGGTCGCTTGCGGATTTGATGAAGGATACTACCTAGGGCGATGTGTTTCGGCATCCACTTGACTCCATCACTAGAAGCGCACATAATACCGTGTATGATGCTTAAGACACTAGTGTGATGGCTTTGCTCGTTGCCGTAACTATCACTATCTTCTTGTGGCTCACATTGAGCCACAAACCGAAGATGCTCACCGGAGATCAGATGACGTCACGTCAGTTTGGCGGATGGAAACAAGTGACGACCGTCTTGAGACTGGTGAAAAACAAACAAAATGGCGGCAAAGGCAACTCAAAAGAAGCTAAAAATATGAAAGAATGCACTTACAAGCCACAGGAATACGGTAGAATGATATAGCGATCTTATTTTATGTTCAATGACCTTCATTTGTTTTAAGCCTGAACGTTCTAGCGTATACGGCACTTAACTAATTTCTCGATACCGACCTTTTTTCACTGTTTTCTTTTTTTGCCTACCCTGAGTGCCAGAGGTTCAGTTTTCTTCTTTCGTGAAAGGGGGAGCTTTTTCTAACCGTGAGCGCAATTTATTTCATCTTAGGAATTTCGAGAACAGACCTCTGAAGCCAGGGAGTTTTTTGTCATGACGCTCTAAAACCTCTTCCGCTCCGAAATTCAACTAAGCATTAAATTGAGTCGCACACACTTTAAGCTGATAAGTTATCGTCAGTTTTTTTACAGATCTTCATGAGGTTTTTGACCATTGTTTTTCTTTCTGCACACATTTTAACTGAACTCTGATATGTAAAAAAGCAATTTTTTTTCTGAAAACAAGAACCAGAGAACACTATTTTGTTAATATAATATTTGAGGAAACTTTGGTTGAAAATTAAACAGTTCCTTGTTCAGTTTGGATATTTGTAATCTGGTACAGGTAATAAAATTATTGTCAATCTTCATCTACTTCACAGTTTTTAGACTTTCTTATTGGCTTTTGATATCTAACCCTGTTCACAATGCTTCCGGACAATAGAGATAAGGGCCTTATTTAATTTAGCAAAGATGCTGGTATTAGTTCCCCATAAAAAAAAGGCCAAGTGAAAAAGCCCAAGTACAAGAAGGTTGGAGGTCAAGCAGCCGAGGATCAAAAACAAATCCAAACTTCCAGCTGGTGAATAAACCATCCTGGATCGGTCCACACAAAGTTTTACAGTTGTCATTGATTGATACAGTCTTTTATTTATTAGTGAAGAGTACGAAAAGGGGGGAGGTGGGATGGGGGTTAAAATAGACGGGGGCTTATTGTTCAAACTTTCTTCCACTGAAAAGGAGGGCTTATTTGAGAGAGGGGGCCTTAGTAGAGGATTTAAGATGTTGTTATTATTGGTTTTTTTTTGCCTCTCAGATGTAAAAAAAATAGCATTAACCCCGCTTTAATAGCCAGCAAAAGGTGAAGAGTGTTTTCATTGTTTGTAATATAGCAATCCAAAATGTACTCTCCACTTTGAAATAGATTTGATTTTTGGAGCAAAAACTTTCTTAATCCCTGACTTTGGTTTATTTTACATATTACTTGGGGCTGCACTTTGCCATGTCAATGTGCAAATTGACTAAAGGCTAGACTCCAGTTGTTCAAAAATTTGATAGTCCTATCTGAGTCATGTGCACTGTAAAAGTTCCTTTCTCATTTGGAGATAATAGATCTTTTAAGTCAAACGTGCTTTCCTCGTCAGATGGACCCTGTCGTACTCTAATTGAGACATGACTTGGCAGTGGTGTGCTGATTATCGATCATAATCTATCATTGATCAGAAACCTAAAGCAAAGTGAGTATTGCTTATACAAATGTTCAATTGATTGTTGTGGAAAATTCACAAAAACATTGTTGACAAATAAGGACATTAATACACCTGTGTTGTCTTTTTGATGGGCTCTTAATCATGTAGTTTATACATGAAGTTTTAGTTGATTTAACTATGTGACAGATAAGCCTCTGCTTGCAGGGTCGGTGTTTTGTTTTGTTCACTAAGAAAATTATTTTAAGTGTTGAAAGTGGTGCACAGGGGGCACAAAACTATAATCTACTATAATCAGAAACCCATAAGTTTCTGCTATAATCTATTATCAGTTTAATATTTGGGTTAATCTGATTATTTCTGATGATATGATTATGATACAGACACTATGACTAAGACTAACCAACACCTTAAAGTGGACTTTGGAAGTATTTAAGCCGGCACATCTAACAGCTGCAACCTCACAGCCCAACACCTAAACAAGCTAAAAGCCTTGCCTTGTCCCTGTGTGGCATTTTCCCAGGCCTTCTTGGTCAATTCATTTCGGTGACTTATCTTAGGCAAACTGGAGGGAAATTGTTTCACTGTTTCGCTTGGGACCACGTGACCTGAAACTCATTGGCCGTGATTAGGCAACTAAAAGCTCACTATGCTAATGGGGA